CACCGCCCCAACCACCACCACCACCGCCGCCGCTATCACCACCACCGCCGCCATTACCACCGCCATCGCCTCCACCATTGCCACACCCATCACCATCATCTCCTCTATTGCCACGCCCATCATTGCCACCATCACCGCCACGACCATCGTCGCTGCTGCCACTGCCATTGCCACCACCACCATGGCTGCCGTCGCCACTCCACCACCACCACCAACATCGTTGTTGCCCTGACAGTTACCGCGGTGATTGCCACCCACCACAACTATAACCGTCTCCTATGCCCATCATTGCTTCCCACCACTGTCGTCCACCACCTCTCACCTCTACTGAAAAATGATGCTTAAATTCATTTATCTCTTCTTTATGTTTGTGATTTAATTTTGGATATGAATACAAATGTGTTTATTGTTTACCATTTTTTATTACTGTGTGCCTTTAGGCACAGACAATAACTAGTTTATATAATAAAATAGCTAACAACTTAAATATCAAAAGATAAACAAAATGACTTTTGCTATTCGTGATTATGATCTCTTTAAATTTTATTTTAAAGTTAATCTAATAGATAATATTAATACCCTAAATTTAATAGAAAAAATAGGTCCCTAATAGTGTGTTTTAAGTGATTTTTTAAAAATAATTATAAAAATTATTTATCATAAGTACTTTAAAAAAATAATAGTGTTTGAAACCGTTTCACCACTACCTCTACCACCACCAGCACCACTGTCGCCCCATTGCATCCGTCGCCGCTATCACCACTAACTTTACCACAGCCACCACCATCGCCACCACCACCACCACCACCATCGCTGTCGCCACAACCACCACTACCACTGTAACCCCCACTACCGTCGCCATCTCCACCACCACTACACCACTATCGCCTCCCACCACCACCACCATCGTCGTCAGCCTTACCACCATCGTCGTCACCGCCACCATCATCATTGCCGCCGCCACCATCACCGTCACCACCACCACCATTGTCGCCGGCACCATCTCCACCATTGTCACCATCCCTGCCGCTGCCACGATCACGACCACGACCACCACCATTGTCACCATCACCCATCACAACCATCATTGTCTTTCACCACCACCTCTCACCCCTATTACAAATCTATGCTTCAATCTTTTATCTTTTTTTTATATTTGTGATTTGATTTTGGATATAAATATAAATATATTTATTATTTAATATTTTTTATTACTCTATGCTTTCAAGCATAGGCAATAAACTAGTATATTAATATACAAAAAAAAAATGCTCATGTGCTATTATACCGAAATTGATCCACTAAAAAATATATTCACACACTAAACATTTTTGATGGGTTTTCTATCCTCATTGTAACTTAAAAATTCTATTATATATATATATGTATGTATGTATGTATGTATGTATATAAATAAAAAAATGACACGTATACATAAAAAAGTTGTGGTTGTGGGAGGTCAGGGTGGGCATGGAAAGGTTCCATTAACCAAGGCACTATTTTAAGAGTTATCGGCTCATTCCTTAACACGCATTTAAAGCTCGGGACTCCTCCCACTGCTTTGGGTGCGAGGGTGGAAAGAGATATTTTTAGTATTACAATCGTGGATTGGGTATGGTAGTTAGGTTTGGTGTTGAGTTGGTTTTAACTGGGTAAGAGTAAAATTGTTATTTTAAAAGTGTATTCCCTAACCATCATCGTTAGAGATTTATGCTCCGTTGTTACAATGGAAAGATAGAAAGTTGAAAGGATGGAAAAATAGAGGGATAAATAAAATATTATGTTTAATAAGAAAAAAAAAAATAGAAAGGATGAAAAAGTGAATGAATTGACTTTCCTTCTAACTCACTAAAATTAATCCCTCTAAAATCGGAAGGAAAGTAGATAGAAAGTTAATTATTTGTGTTGAAATATATCTTATTTGTCTATATTTTTTTTGATATATACATATATTATATATTATGTATATATTAATTTCATATATAAACACAATAATAAAATATATATTTATATATATTTTTTAAAAATAAAAAAAATTAAAATTAAAATTTTAAATTTAAAAAATATGTTTTTTCATTTTAGTTATGGGTGAAAATTTTCGACTCGATACATTGACATGACTCGAACTTGACACAAATTTTATGATACGAACTTGATTATAACTCGTCACAAACTTGAATTGAAAATGACCTGACACGTAAATAAAAAATATAAGTGACTCATATTCAGTTCAATTTGTCAAATTCAAAATTAACACCATTAATCCATTTATTTAAAAATAAATACTTTATCTATTTTCTCGTTTATATGGTAATACGAAATTAACACGAAATTAACATATTTAATTAGTATTATAGACATAAAATGTTAATTATTTGTAACTATTTATTAAACAATGACATAATTATTATATAAAAAAATAGTTTTACTTATTATTATTATATTTATTTAAGTTAATTTTTAGTTTGTAGAAAAAATATAAATATGGATTCAATTAAGCTAAAATAAAATATTAGTATTAAAATTTTTATTCAAAGTTTATGTGAGGTAATACGAATACAAACACGAACACGACACGAAAGTAAATATGTCAATTCGACACGACATATTTAATTAAATGAGCTGAGTTAGGTTTGACTAATGTTCAACAAAAATCCGTAATAACTCAAGACGAACCTGACTCGATTGTCATCCCTAATCTTAGTTGGCAAAAAAAAAAATTTAATAATTTTTATTTTCCGTCCATCCTACCAAACACAAAGAAAAAAAAGTGTATCATTTATATTTTCCTTCCTTAAAGAATATGAAATATATTCCTCTTATTTTTTATCATTCATACCAAATGGAGCATTAGGATAATTCAAGGGATAGTTTAAATAGTAACCGGTACAAACTGTAAATTTAAACATAACAAGCTAGAATCGTGATAAATATTTTAGGATCAAGTTATGGAGAATTTAATTCTAAAATGGTTAACCAGACAAGGAGGAGATTAGTCGAAATATAATAAATTGACTTGAATACCTTTAGCATTGGAAAAAAAAAAAAAAAACTTAGGGTAGTAGTGATAGTATAATTTACTAGAGATTACTTTGTTTAAAGAAAAGTCATAGGGGTCCTTGGTGTAATTAATTTACTTTCCTATTTCTTCCGCACATGATACGAGACTTCCCAAATTCTTCAACTTGTTTAACTACTTACCAAAAAGAAACTCTCTCATTCTTAAACCCCTCGTCAGCCTCCCCTGAGTGCGAGTTTGAGCAGCAATGGCGAGCCCAGAAGAAGTGAAACTCGAACGGTTCCTCCAGTGGTTACAGGTCCCAAAACTCTATAAAACCCTTATTGTCCTTTGTTTTTTATTTTGAATTTGTTTGATTATGATTTGCTGACTAAATCCTGACGCTCCAATTTGTAACCCAGTTGAACAGAGTGGAACTACGTGGTTGCAACATCAAGTACTGTGATTCGAATAAAGGGTTTGGTCTCTTTTCATCTAATGATGTTTCGGATGGTAAGTTTTCTCATCTTTTAATCTTTTTGAACCATTTACGTTTGCCTTTGTGTGGTCTATTGGTTGATGAGGAAAGAAGTGGGTAAAGAAAGGTGGGTGAAGAAAAGTAATTTAGTTACTGAATGAATGCTCGGTGAGACCTAAGAAAAGTACTCGAGTAGTTCATGGATTTAGGGGGCGGGAAAAAGAGGTGTGCAGGAAATATTGTATCTTATTTGGTTGCCATGGAAAACAACAGGAAAAAGATGCTAGGAGAAGGGGGGGTTAACAGAAAGGTATTTGATTTAATTTATTATTTTTTTAATAGATATTTAATTTGTCAATGTACCTTTTTGATTTAATATGTCCACTGTAGGTGAAAACAACACATGAAAATGTGAAGTTGAAATCTATATTTGCTCTCAATTTACTCAATTTTTGGGGTAGACAAATCGAAAATCTGGAAATATTTGTTGGACTTGCTATCTTTCTCTTTATACACGATGTTTGGTTGGCAATTAGTGTTGAATTTGAATATCAAAACCAGAATCTGAATAATGGTGGTCCAAGGAATTGACTACATATACTCAACAATGTCCTGATTAAACCTAAACAGTAAATATCATTATCATGTTCAGATTTTACTTTACTTCCCTCAAATTTGAATAGAATATATAAAAATGGACAGGGATTGGATTTCGTGTTGATTGGCTCATTTTGGGAAAAATTTCAGGGATTCTACTAGTTGTTCCACTAGATTTAGCTATCACTCCTATGAGGGTGCTGCAAGATCCTTTATTGGGACCTGATTGTAGAGCAATGTTTGAGGAAGGCGAAGTAGACGACAGGTTCTTGATGATTTTGTTTCTGATGGTGGAACGTCGGCGGAAGAATTCTTCATGGAAGCCGTATGTGTGTCTTTCATTGGGTTGGTTCCTGTATTACTCGTTTTAAACTTTTATGTTGGTTATAATAATAGCTTGTGGAAAATCATGTTAGGTATCTTGATATGCTTCCAATCACATTTGGAAATCCACTTTGGTTTTCTGACGACGAGCTTTTAGAGCTGAAAGGGACCTCGTTGTATCGTGCTACAGAGTTGCAGGTATTGTGTCTAGATAATTGGCTTCTTTAATTATGGGTTGTTTGAATTGTGTAGTTGTACACTAGTACTTATATAGCCATTATAGACTAAAACTAAAACTAAGAATGATATGTCATTATGGAGTTGCATCTTTTTGCTTATTCACTATTGCATTCTAGATCCAGATATCCAGATATAAGTCTAATTCAGGATATATTTTATAATGTTACCTTTTGGAAATTTTGCTTTCTAAAATTCACTGTATAGCATATGTAACTGAAGGCAGGTTTATGTTACAGAAGAAAAATTTGCAGTCCCTTTATGATGATAAAGTGAAGAAGTTGGCGGAAAAGCTTTTGACTCTTGGTGGGAATTCAGACAGGTATGCATGAAGGAGTTGTTTACTACTTTTCATGTGGAAATCCACATGCAAATCTTTTTGAAAACCTACTTGGGAATATTGAATTATTATGTTTGTACCCCATCTGTGCTTTTCTGTATACATATTTAGATATCTGCATGTATCATGTGAACACGTTTTTCATCCAGCATTCTGCCTATTGAACTCTGTGTTTTGTTACTGTTGATGCACAGTAAAATGTGCAATAAGTATGTGATCCATGTATTGGTTTTGAAAATTGAAAATGTTGTTTGATTTTGAGGAAAGTATTGGCAATCTTTGGTTATCCATCCACCAATTGTCCCTAATTTCATATAATTGAGAAAAAAAACTATCTAGTTTATGATACTAGCTGAGTAGCTTCATGCATACCTGGACTTGAGAAACGAAAACTCAGTTACTAGTATATTTCTTAGAACTGCAATACATTTTTGATGAATAGAAGTTGATGAAAACTGTAAAGTATGGTAGAAATTGGGCCAATACATATGTTTTTAGTATTTCCCAAAGTTTGCTAAGGTATTAAAAGATTTTACAGATCTATTATATGCGTTCTGGTATTGGATTCTTTTATTGAATTGTATTAGGGCTTCTCTACCAATATCATGAGCCACAATTTGAGTGGCGGTCAAAGCGATAGAACTAAAGTGTTCACCAAAGGTGAAACCCATGGTTGATAGGCACTTAGTATTCATGAGGAACATGAGATAATTTGGGTAATAGAACATGGCATATCTGTCGAATACACCAGCTAAAAGTGAGAGCAACATATTTCTATTTTACTAGATCTGAATATGTTCCTTTTGCAGTTTCTCCCATGGACATATTTCATAAGGACTGAATACTGACGCTATAGATGTTGTATTATCTAAAGGTGAATTATCTCACACTGGGGTATAAAAGAAACAAAGCCATTTCAAATATTATCCCTTGTCTTGAGAGTTGAATATTAGTTAAACTTGGTAATTAGACTTATGCCCACATGCAACATATGTCAAGGAATCCATGTAGCATGTAGCAAAATTCTCATAGTTAAGTTGCGGTGTTGTTAGTCAATTCTTTTGAATAGTATATGATCTCAAATAATTTGTGTCAGGAAACCAAGGGAGCAATTGTTTGTGCGGCACTATATGGCACACTACACTATACTTAAATCAAATGGGGAAAACAAAATATTTGATTGTTCCCAGGGCAAAAGTGAGGCATGATTTTTCCAAGAGATCTAGGACAATTTCTAGGGTTAGTTATGTCCGTGCTCAACAGTGTTTCAAATGTGGCACTTCGAAACTGCTAGAAACATATCATACACCATGTGTAGTTGTCCAACCCATCAAGCATGCGACCATTCTTTTAGTATTGAAAAAAACATTGAATGAAGTATTTTTAAGCGGCAGAAGTAGAGTTACAGCAAACACTAGAAATAATGCATGTAATGTTTGTTAGCTTATCTTCCAATTCATGCAAATGTTGATATAGAAATTTGAAGAGTTCCAAGGAATAATGTTTTTGTTCCACATATTGTTATACCCAGTGTTTTGAAAAGCTCGCCTAGGCGAGAAGCGAGGCGAGGCGAGCTTAGCTCGCCTGGAGGACCCCAGGCGAAGCGAACGTGAGCGAAGCGAGAATGTGAGTGAGCGAAGTTTATTAACTTCTGTTTTTTTTTTTAGCTCATTCTGCTTCTATTTTTTTTTTGTTGATTCTGTTGCTGCTTCGATTTTGCTGTCCTGTGTTGCTTTTGTTTTTTTTAATTGTCATTCTGCTTTTTTTTTTTTTTTTGTTGCTAATTCTGCTGTTGTCCTGATTATGCTTCTTTTGTTGTCCTACCCTGTCAATATGAAAATGTATACAATTGTTAGTATTTGTTTGAATTTAAATGTTTAAGTTATGACTGTTATTAAGATTTGAGATATTATTAGTGTTTTTTTTAATTTAAATGTTTATGGTTTTACTTGCATTTAAATATTTAGTATATATAAAATTAGAACTTAGATTGTTTAGAAGTAATTAAACTAAAATATATATTTTTTTTAACTGTTCGCTTTGCTTCGGTAAAGCGTGTCGCTTCGCTTCTCGCTTCTCGCCTAGGCGTTAGGAGCCTTGGTCGCTTCGGTTCGCTTTACGCCTTAAATAACACTGGGTATACCAATAGGAGAGATGCATACTTTATATTCTACTGTATTCGACATGTCTGTATCTAACTTCTCTAAAATTTGTCATACTGGTTTTTCTATGTCATGTCATTTTCTTGTCCTAGTTCCATGTCTATGCTACTGAGCTTTGAGGTCGATGTTGAAGTTTTTGTCAACATGTTCCGGTGTTCGCTTGATATTGTGCTTTGATATTTTCCTCATGATTGATATTATGCTTAGATATTTCCCTCATGCTTGATATTGTCCTTATTATAAATTATTAGCAATGTGATGATAGGATACGCAATTAATGGAAGCTTGATATTGTGCTTAGATATTTCCTTCGTGCTTGATATTGTGCTTAATTATAAATTATTAGCAATGTTATGATAGGATACACAATTAATGGAATCTCCAACAAGGGCAACCATTTGAAACTTCACGTGGCTTTAACCAGAAAAGTGGTGTTTTGTAATTGTATATTTTTGAGTTGCTTATGGTGTGGCACCTCCTCTCAATTTTTCTTTTCCTCATCAGCTAAAAACCATAGGTTGTATAATTTGGTAACATGGTACCCAAATATTCAACTCAACTTAAAAAATTCTTGTCCCAACTTTACATTTTAAATTGTTTCAAAATTATGAATTTATTGTCGTCATTTTTGTTTCTAATTTTAATTTCCTATGATCATCGGTTAATGTATGCAATTTCTGTTGTCGCTTTTGCCAGTGAAGTGTGTTTCGAAGACTTTCTTTGGTACGCTTCTTTCTCTCAAAAGTGTTTTTTTGTTCTTCATGTTTCCTTTTCTTGGTGGATTCTTTTGGGGAAAGTACCTAATGTTGCACAATTGACATCATCATAGGGCAAATTCCATATTTTGGACACGAGCTCTGAATATTCCTCTTCCACATTCTTATGTATTTCCACAAGTTTCAGTGGAGCAAGATAGCACTTTTTCAAGCACCAGAAAACCTTGGGCCTCTTCCGATGTTAATTCCGGTGAAGAATTGGCCAACGAAGAGGGTGGAAGAAGTGAGGTCATTTTTCCTTCACTAGTTTTCCATGAAATGTCCCTTTTGTTTCCTGATGTAGACTACAGATGCCATGATGTGCTGTCTGTTGAGTACTTAAATCATGTGTCTGTTTGACTTAAGATCACTGCCTATTTATTTCAGGATTTGAGGTTGATGGGGTTGAAAGTCAAGTTTCAGGAATCGCATCAACTTCACAAAAAGGAGAGACTGTATGGGTAGAGGGGCTTGTCCCTGGCATTGATTTTTGCAACCATGGTAGTCAAATTGCTTATGATTATAATTTCTTTTTATTCTGTTGTTTGCTGAAAGTCATGTATCATTTGGAAGTATTTGGCTATTTTCTTGCTTTTCTTCTTTTCCGTGTCCTCTTGCTCAAAGATATAACTGTTACATCCTTTTCAGTTAAAGTTTTTTTGCTTAGACCGGTGCAAACCGTGATAATGCTCTGTCTATTTATTTGTTTTGGTTTACACTTTACACAGACCTTTAGTCATTAGTTTACTTCTATGTGTGCGTCCTTCATAGTTGTATTATGATTCTTTATAATGATAATTTGCTGGGTTATGTATAGATTTGAGTTATATGCCCTGCTTCAATGTTTATAATTTGAGACCCATCTTGCTTGTATGCAATTTGTTACTCCTGTAGAGCTTTTATATCTGTATAATAAGAATATCCTAAGATAATGTTTTTGGTGGTTCTTGGAGTATGTAATATGTTATGTTATGGATGATAAAATATAAGTTTTTCATTTATTTTTGTTGATTATCACTTGGAATTTGTTTCTCTGTTGGAAATATCTTTCATATAATATTTAGAGGTACCCAATTAAGGGCTAACTATTTTCTTGGATTTATATTATGCTTGTGCAATGATCCATTTTTTATTCCAACTGGACTTTGAAGAATTCATATTTATATTTGTCTCTCTTTCTGCAAACATTGTTGCATAGATTTAAAGGCTGTAGCAACGTGGGAAGTTGATGGAACGGGATCAACAACTGGAGTATCTTTCTCTATGTACCTTCTTTCTGGTAGTAGCCCCTCCCTGATGTCATGTGAATATGTCCATTATGCAGGTGTTGACCTTTTTTTTTATTTTGATCTAACCCAATGTTAGTTTAATGAAGTTTAAAGCTTTGTTCCTTTAAGTTGCTGGGATATCTGACCAATCATGATGTTTTCTGTTTCCCAATTGGAAAGCTGAACAAAGTCCCTTCCAAATCGAGAAAGAGATATTCATCAGTTATGGTAACAAAGGAAATGAGGTACTTTCTCTTGTCATTGGAATGTGGGAGGGCACATTATATAGTAAATATCTATGTAGAAGTTTGGTACTGGTGCCAGCCTTCTAATCCTATTTAAAGTATAGGGTATTTCAGTACGGACACCTTCAACATTTGTGTAAATATGTAATATTTATGGTTAATGCCATGAGTCCATGACCACTAATATATGTGTCTATTCAAGACAGACAGGGGCCCACTCAAGAAGCTGGAGATGCTGACTTTGAATCTCCCCATTCAGATTACAAGCAGCCTATGGTCTAAGCTTGCCTAGTAACTGATTCTTGTGGTGTGAATATGTACTTGGGGGATTAAATGGTTGACGTAGGAGGTCCAGACACCCTTGTAATCCGACATATATATGTTTATGGGTGTGTGCGTATTCCAATGCATTTTGGCAAGATGCATGGAGCACCTTTTGCATTGCGCCAACTTTGTCCAGTTCACATTCCTGGTTCTCATTGATATATGAAATGAGTTGGATAATAGCTATATTTTGGTTTGTTTTAGTCTTCAAACAATTGTTACAAGTTGGCCGTGAATTTCTTTTAAAGATTCCGCTAAGCCTTATTCTAGCTATCTGGGTCAGGTGTTTTTCCCTCAACTACCTTGTTACTAGTGCCTTCAACTGGAAGTCTGGAACCATATTACTCTTGGCTGTTAGCAGCAAAAAGGCTTATCGAGCGAATTATAGACTTTATAGTAATGCATTATGATTTATGAATTTGATATTATGAAGGAAAGATTTATGGTTGAAGCATGTAAATTAATCTAAGCAGGACTTCATAATCAACTGAAAACTTTTATCTGCCTTTTAAATGTGAAAATCATTTCCCATTGGATGCAGGAACTGCTGTACCTATATGGATTTGTCATGAACAACAACCCAGATGACTATCTCATGGTAATTTATTAATGGAAAACTTAGTGTGTACTTGTTGTGTATGTTCTATTGTCTGCAACTTATTTTCACCTTCAGCGATGATATAATATGTATGCTTAAAAATTGGTGTTGATGCATTCTCTTTCATGATAAGGCAATATCTTCTATTAAATCATGGGTTGATTTATAAAATTGAATTCAAACAACCTTAGGATTTGTAACATTTTCTGACTTCAACAAATTCCACAGGTTCATTACCCAATAGAGGCTATCCAGGGTATCCCTTTTTCTGACTCCAAATTTCAGATTCTTGAAGCACAGGTCAGCCATTTATGCGTTCTTTTCATGCATTTTCATGTAATTTTTCTTATTATCAAAATTAACACTTCCAAAAGCGTAGTTAATGTCTCTAGTGGAGTAATGCAAGTTTTATTGCGTGCATTATGGCTTTATTTATACCTTTTTAGGTATAGGTCTTTTACTTAGGTATGCATGCATGGGTGTATATTTTTTCTTTAAACGTCTGTGCAGTTGCTTTGTTGATGTACTTGTTTGGTGTTCACAGAAAGCTGAGTTAAGGTGTCTTTTACCAAGAAGTTTGCTAGATCATGGCTTTTTTCCAGCATGCACACTGCAAACCAAAAGCAACAATAAGTGCACAGAGCCTCGAGTTTGCAACTATAGTTGGTGCGGTCAGCGCAAGACACCCTCCTACTTGAATAATCTTGTTTTTCCTGAGGATTTCTTGACTGCCTTGAGGACAATAGCCATGCAGGAAGATGAGCTTTGTCAGGTTTCATCATTACTCGAAGAGGTGTGGTTCATTTTCAGCACTACCTTTTTGGCCCTTTCTTTTTCTACTCAGTATAGTACTTTTGGCTGCGTCATCGATGTTCAATTATATTCCTCGGTATCTTCTTATCTTAATTAAGATTCATGTTAAAAAAGTGAGACTGTTGAGATCTCATTACATGCATGATCTGTTTAAGTGATATGGCATATGTATTTCTAACCCAGGGGAAAGTGAAAAGCAAGCTGAAGTAGATGAGGAAGCTCTCTAGTAAAATATTAGCTTACTAGGATAAAATTCAAACACACTCCTATTTTATTATATAGATATTTTAAGGGAGTTAGTCTGCCAAAAAGTGATGGTCAATGGTCACAGCATAGAAAAGTTGCCAATGGAGTAGTAGAAAATCAAAGACTATATTTTCAATGCAAAATGAGTTTTTTACCGGAGTGCAGCACTTTTGAAACAAATTTACCACAATACGGCAGTCCACAATATGGCAGTTTTGAACTTGTTTACCAAATTACATCACTTTTTAAAAGTGGGGTCAATAATTCCGTTTTTACTAGAAAAGTGGAGTTAGCAACCCCATTTTTGAGAATGAGACTTTTAAATAAAATTTGTTAACTGTTAAAAGCAGGTTCATTGATTACGTTTTTTCAAGAAAACCGGGTTATTGACCCCACTTTCTATACATGTGGTTATTGATTGCAGTCAGCTGTGTGGAGGACCAGCAGGTGAGCACAGAGAATGCAGAGGACAGTGTCCCCACTGCATTAGGCAATAGGAGTATTCAGGGCCTCAGGCAATAGGCAGCAAAGATCTAGTGCAGAACTATTTATTGTTTTCTATAAATGCAGGGATATTGACCCCGCTTTCAGTGAGATTACAATTTCTTTTTCACCAGATCCTCTCAAAAATACTGTAGGCTCACGTAAAAGCGGATTTGTTGACCCTTTTTTTTGAAAAGCGGAATGAGTAACCCCGTTTTTACCAAGTGTCTTAGTTTGGTAATTAAGTTTAAAATTGCTGTATTCTTGTAAATTTGTTTCAAAAGTGCTGCACTCCGGTAAATAACTCCAATGGATTGAATGAAAAGGACATTTGCATTGTTCAAATTGTAGATACAGAGTACGCATTTATTTAGAGGAATCAAATATAGTTGAAAAATCTGGCTCTTGCTTTTTCTTATAGTGGTTCTTTGACAGTTTCATCCTTTGCTAAAATGTACTTAGTTTCTCCTCAAAGCCAAATACCAACCATTAGTTTGTTATGAATTGTTCAACTTATTTCAACTATTTACTCCTAAATGCACCCATTTTTTTTTTCTGAAAGCTTACTGGTTCTGGAGGGGAGAGGCAACCATCTGATTCAGAAGTTCGAGCAGCAACATGGGAGGCATGCGGGGATTCTGGAGCTCTGCAACTTCTTGTCGATCTTCTTAACATGAAGTAACCTCTGGAAAATAGCTCATTAAATGTCATAATTTCTGTATCTATTTAACAGCGCTGACTAAATATTATATGTTTATATTTAATATTTTTGTCTCTTGATTGTCATTGTTTCTGATATTAGCTGTGCTAATGGAAAAATTTCTGATTGGTATATCTGAAACATTTCAAGGGTCTTGCTCTGAAATCTATTTATGAAGAGCTTCTCCTTTTCTCTCCTCCTGTCAGTAATTCACTCCTTGAATTTTGATTGGATCACGGCTAGCTGTTTTTTAAGTTCAGCTAGCTTCCCCCTGTTATTCCCAAACTTGTTCTTACTCCAAGCTTTCAGATTTTGACAGCAAAACTTTAGCTTTCTAGAAACCTTGAACATATTGGAACCCCTTGTGCTATGTAGCCAAGTTGATTTGATTGTTTCTTCACACTGGGTTGATTCCAACCACATAAACTCAAATTTGAACTGACGTCTTGTCCTCTTTTGGGCCAAACCAAAGTCAATGACTATGGGGCTATGATCTGACCCCATCCTGATTTCATGAATAACTTGGGCATAAGGAAATGCCATACGCCAATCTGGGTTAGCCAGAATCTGGCCAATCATCTCTTGAACATTCGCCTTCCTGGCCTTTTGTTTGACCACGTGAACCTTGGGCCTTTGAAATCTCCATTTCTATCAAATTGCAGCTATTCAGCAAACCCTGGACTTCCTCCGTTTGTTTGATACTCTTCCTCCTTCCCCTTTATTTTTCCAATACCGATCCTATAATATTGAAATCCCCAGAAACCACGCTAGGGATAGTAGTGTTAGATGCCAAAGCCTTAGTCCACATCCACATAATTAAAGTTGTTTGCCATCGATTTGGAGGGTTCTTTGTCGAGTAGAAAGTATTGATAATATTTTTATTCTGGAAATCAATGGTTACCTTATGGTCATAATTCCACCATAGAGCCAATCCCCCAGATAATCCCTAAGGAGCTACGTATGTGCCATTGGGAAACCGATGAGATCTTCTAAGTCTTTCTAGGTACTCCTTATTTTTGGTTTCCATAAGGAAAATCAAGTCATTTCCGCCTTGTCTGCCTTCTCCATCTTCCCCCTCTTGAGCTATATCTTTCTGCATTACTTCAACGTTACCCAGGTTGATATCATCTACCAGAAAAGCTTGATGTTTTGGGGTAGAGACCTTTCTTCTTCCTCTTGTAGGTGGAACTCTTTTGCTTTATCTTTTGATGGATTTGATGATGAAGTAAATGTTGTGGGGTAGAGACCTTTCTTATTCCTCTCTTGGGTGGAACTCTTTGCTTTATCTTTTGATGGATTTGATGATGAAGTATTGGTTCCATCTGATGAGCAGCATCTTGGGACTCTTTGTTTCCTTCATAGATGATAACTTCCAAAGCCCACAAATCTGAACCAAATTCCCTAGAACTCTGTTCGGACCTTCTATCCGGGCAGTAGAATTAGAATGGTCAATTTTGCTGCACTGGTAGTAGAAATTCAATAGTCTCTCATACTTTAGACTTATCCAAACATCATCTAGGCCTTCACGCATCAGTTAGAAGTCCTTCAGAGGGGGCTTTGTAATGTCAATTGCCCAATGGACCCTTAAAATAGCTCCATTTGATGTTTGGTTCAGACTCCAAATCTTCCAGCTCCGTAGGTTCTCCCACTATTTGCCCGATTCTCCATGAGGTTTTTTTGGTCATCACATCGAAAGGGAGTCCCCATATTTGAACCTAGAATTCAGTGGTGGTGAATTCATAGCCCCGGGCTGTAGATAGAGTGGAGCATTACTTTAAGACCATTAGAGACCCATTACTGACCATGGTCCTTCGGAAAGGATCCTATCTCTGTCTTCTTCCATTTTAAGCATAACCAGATATGTGTTTCTCTCCCAGTAGGATATGGAGAAGCCATCCCCTGTTTTCCAAGTGCCCATTAGAACATTACATACTTCTTGCTTACTCAGAGCAGTCTCAAAGATGATTTTTCCCATTAAACCGTATTGTTGGACTTCCTTTGTGGTTGAGGGGTTACACAAAAGGGAGATTCTAGAGTGGTTATCTTTTGAGAATTTTGTTCCTGATCCCCATAGTCTCAAGTCTAAGGTGGCTGGTATGGTAGCTGAAAGGTTTGTGTATTAGAAGGTCTTTGGTGTTTTTTTTTTTTTTTTTTTTTTGGGGGGGGGGGGGGGGGGGGGGTATGG